TGCACTCTTTTCACTTTCTTTTTATTTAATTTTTATTTTCTACACATTTTATACACTTTATGTGTATAAAGGCACATCTGTTTTTTATTCAACCAAGCAAGAAATATTCACAATTACAGAATGTATAAGTAAAGTGATTCATTCATCTGAAAATTACTGAGCTTCTACATTTTCTCTCAAAATAGATTTTATTAATATTTGTAATTGATATTTTATTAAGCTTCAGAGTATTATTCATGTTTGATCTCACACACAAAACTTAGTCCATGAATGTGCCCCACTTAGAATACATAAACAAGTGAAATATGTGTTCCAATTAAAAAAAAAACAAGTGCCTTCAGATTACAGTAAACTTCTGTGATGAAAGAAAGATGTTATAATCTGACAATCAAAAGTACATAATTGAGAGATTTCTTTTTGATAAATTGGTTTTGTGATATTAGTTACCACTTGTCTATTAGCCTCTTTTGTTTGTTTTCCAACTCTATTTCATATTTTACTTCAAAATAAAATAAAATAAAATAAATTGAGAAATAAACAAAAACACAATACTTGGTTACCGCAGCGCTCAATTCATATTTGTATTCTGCATTTGTTAGTTATGTTTAACTAAACGATACAGCAGTAGTTTAAGAGTTAGAGATCTAGAAAATAGTATATGCTCATTTTAATGAGTTTGATTCTGATTCGAATATTTTGTTAGTCAACATGATGTCATATCTTTACATCTGTTAAAAACAATGATCGGGTTATTTAACGAGAAGATCAATCAAATCTTAGTTTAGACATTTTAGATGACAATATGAAACCACTTACAACACACTGTTATATTAACCTTTAAACCTTTAAATATGAATCCACCTACAAAAGAATGTTATATTAACCAGCAAGATTAAACATTGCTGTCTCAATAAACTGCTAAATTAAACCAACATGTTTAAAATATCGGTTTTACGTTGAAAAAGACAAGACATTGTTTTCAAATTATAGATTTTCTTAAAATATATTTTATTATAGAAATCAAAAGTATATGTACAAAATGTCATCTATTATGTCATGATCAATCATCATATATAAAATTATTTAAACATGTATACCATATATATATATATTTAGTATTTGCAAATAGATAAAATTTATTACTTGTTCGCACGCCTAATCAAAATTATATATGAAAACAAGCATACACTTGTAAAATGATAAAATTCAAAAATAAAACTGCATACAAAATGAAAATAAACTAATAATTGTTGATAATGTGTTTACATTTTTTTCCGATTCTTATTTTTAACTGAGTTTTGAAATGTTTATATTTCTATACGTATTTTCTTTGTTGTATATATTTCTATTTGTCATTAAATTAATTTTAGTAGTTGTTTGTTATCGAGAGAAACAAAAAAAAGGTAATTTTTTTTGGTAAAAAAAAGGTAATTATTTTAAGGTTTTCTTAATAACCAAGATGTTTTGAAAGTTAAATGTATAACCATATTTTTTCCAAACTGGAGACGAGTGCATATTCTTTTTTAGCACGTGTATATGTAAAACTTATTTAACACTATTCTTTTGATACCTAGTTTTAATTTGTTTATGGACCTGTGTATGTCAGCATCGCAACATGCATATGTTGACGCAAAACGACATACGCATCAGCAATGTATACATATAACATACTGTATGTAATATGTAAGTATGCATAAGAACTGTAGTGCGGGCCAGTTGATACAAGCGTGGGTCGGTTTATCATTCGTACATTTTGAAAACATATTTGATTAATCGTGTCGGAGCAAGATATGAAAATATACGAAATCGTTAGTAGGACGTCTACATCAACGTATATTTTTACTCTTTTGTTTTAAATGTCCTTTTACTGATTTATTCATTAATCGATTATTAGGTCAAATATGGAGCGTTCGTAATTTTGACCGGCTAGCAGGCCGACTGCACCGCCTATCCCATTAACAACACTAGTGCTAACCGCTTGAGTATGTAGTTCATTTCAATTTGTTGAAACAAATTAAGAAATGAGTAGAGGTGGATGGTCCACCACAAACGCAGCTTTGAAGTTTAGCGTCAGATCTTTAAAAAACGTTTAACGTGAGATTGAGAATATTTAGTAAGTAGAAACTTTTTTATAAATCCTCAGTTTCAGTGATTTGAATCATATGATTGTGACGTTGCTTTGGTAAGTCTGTCATATATAGCAATGATGTTATCACCATGGCGTCATTATTGCATCATCATTTAGTTTCTTCAACTTTTATTCCTTGTTTTGACAAGAAAAACATAATAATAAATTTAAGATTACGCTCAGAGCCACTTCGAAAATCCAAACTCAAGTCAAAGTACAAACATAATACACAATTGAAAAGGAGTTCTAATCCCAAGTTTATCCGCCATTATATTTTTAATTCTGGAAATATGCTGAAGAGAGAAGTGAGAAAAAAAGGCTTACATTATTGTATTTCCTCCGAAAAAAGCGTCAAAACTGGCTATTTCATCCATACATACACCATCATCACATTGAGAATCGTTTCTTACAAATATTACTTCTATTAACTGTTACTATAGTATTTTTACACATTCTATTATCCAGATCAAAGCTATATAATTAGTATATAAAGGTGATAATCATTGTTGAAAGAGAACTATCCATGACCCATATATTTGTCATGATCTTTTTATGATCCATCTATATAACATTAGTTTACTGTGTTATCACGAGGAGCCTGCTCCGCAAAGGAAACATCTGCTGGGATCCTCAAATTAACATTTAGCGACTCAGTCTATAAAGTGTCAAGAAACCATATAATATATATATACTAGTGATATGTCCGCGCTACGCGCGGGGCATCTGTCACTTGTTGTAATTTGTGTTTGGTTGATGTTCTCATGTTTTGTTTGATGGATGGTAGAACAAAAAAAAAAGATTCTTGAAAGCATGATGCACTTTTTTTGGTGCTCGCTGATTAATTTTTCTTTTTTATTGTTCTTATTTGATTAAATGTGGGTATATCCACGTAAGTAATGGTGTGATAAGATAAATTTTGATGGTAATTTAGTACCAAAGAAGAAGACAACAGAGAAGTAAGAATTTGATTTTATGGACTTCTTCTATCGTTTGGTGTTTAGGACCATTTATTCTGTGGCGTTATAATTTTTGGAGATAATGGTTTGTTATGAATTCACTGTTTTGTTTACGTTGAGTTTGTAACTTCTTAGCAAGAGTATGTATAAGTCACATATAGTGTGTATTTGGAAGAGAGTTTCATAGTATAACTATAATTTTATACTGGTAAATTAGTACCATAGGAGAAAACAGCATAATATTTTAAGTGAGCATCATAATATATCTATAACATTATTTGAGAAGTAAATTTGCTTAGTTGTCAACTTCTCCATGATTTTAGGTTATTTTACTTATTTTCATGTTTTAATAATTTATTATATAATAAAAACGAATTTATGTTAATAATATTATATTTTTAGAAAATATGTTAATTCTTTTGTATTAGATTGTTATCTTAAGGATTATATTATTCAATTATTATTTTAGAAGTAAAAATTTGCTTAGTTGTCAACTTCTCCATGATTTTAGGTTATTTTGCTTATTTTCATATTTTAATAATTTATTATAAATTAAAAAGAATTTATGTTAATAATATTATATTTTTATAAAATATGTTAATTCTTTTGTATTAGATTGTTATCTTAAAAATATATTTTTTAATTATAAAATTTAAGTGAGTTTGCTGATTAATTTGTAACTTTCTGTGATTTAGGTAATCTATACTATTATTTGTGAATGATTTTTTTGCAAGAAATCTCTCACGTTGAAAGTTAGAACGGTTAATATCGTTTATATCCTTAATGAATAATTAAAAAATTTAATATAATTAAACATAAATAAAAAACGAATCTCAATGATTTTAGATTTATCTTTATCTAAAACTATTTTATATTGGGTTATAAATTTTTATTAACCTTGAAAAATAATTATATTAGTTAATATACTTGAAAAATAATATATTAGTTAATATATAATTAATTATAAATTAAAATCGAATTTCATTTATTTGATAATTATCCTTATTTTTTATATTATGTGATAAAGTCTTTATCAACCTTGAAAAATAATTATATTTGTTAACATATAATTAATTCTAAATTAAAAAATGAATCTCACGAATTTGATAATTATCTTTATCTAACTTTTTTATATTGTGTTATAAAGTCTTTATTAACGTTGAAAAAATAATTCTATTTGTTAATATATAGTTAATTATGAAAAATCAATTTGCAAAGAATTTATGTATAGATAATTTATATTGTGTTATCCAAACATTATTAAACATAATTTTTTATACTTTTTTGTTATGTCTAAAAATGATATTAATTTATTACTAAATGTTTCAAGTTTATGAGTATTTTCAAATATAAGTTGTGTAATGAAAATTATTTGTATGATGATGAAAATTTTATAAATAAAAAGAATTTGTTTGGTTTATTATTAAATATTTTGAGTCTATGAACAATAATTTATTATAATTTACATAACTTGATTATATATTTATTTATAGATATTAGTAAAATTATTAAGCCCGCAAGTGCGGGCAAAACACCTAGTATTCTTTATATTGCGTTGAACCTTATTAATAATATAAGTATAATTTTAGACTGGTCAAGTGTTCTTATGGTTTATTTAACCAATGATATTTGTACCGTATAATTTTGTACTATAATGTTGAAAAAAGGAACCATAGTTCATCCACTGGAAAAGATAATACAAATTTAAACTGTCCAAATATTATTATAGATTTTGGTATGCACGAAAGAGATGGAATCTATAATGTTGAAAAAGGAATCAAATTGCATTCATAGTTTAAACATCCCACCAAGACAAAGAGTTCAAAATATAATCGTAAAAGATACTAAAGAGTTGAAACTAAAAAAATAAAAAGATGAAAAAGCATAATTTGATAAGCAAGATGGTGGGGAATTGTTTAATCCACGTAGATATACTCCTGGCGTGCCTTATTCTTCAAGTTTTCACCGTTGACAAGTCTCTGTTTGATTGCATCATCAGTTAACCCCGCACCATCCCCATTGTCATCGGGTCCATGGTCATCTCCCTGAAAACATCGCAATGGTGTGAATCTAAAAGTGATAAATTTTGTAAACTATAAGACAGTAAACAGTACGAACATCATCATTAACAAAGGCTGGCAATGGTGCCCTCTCGTGCTCAGTTATTATACGGGAGACAGTGAAGGTTTGTTTTTTGGAAGTGAAGTTGAACTTTCCCAACTTGAGCTGGAAAGTGAATGTTTTTCCAACTATTTCATTCAAGGAGGGAGGAAATTCTGTGTCGACTTTGGCATTTATACCAGTACCCTGCAAATTAGAGTTTTACAATTCTGAAACCAACCAAAGAATGAGTAGCGCAAGATATTAGGTGGGTTTTGGAGGCGTTACCAAAATCTGAGCAGCCTCAGCTCTTGAATATTGGTTGACTTAGCAATCTCGGTATCAAATGCTACAAAGACAGCATCATCCGTACGGTCTTTCACCGACAACTCCACATGATACCTTTTTCACAGAGAATAGAGTGTTAGATAATTAACACACCTGAATTAATCCAACTCTATTTGTCAGATTATTTTGAATAAGAACAGTTTAGAAGCTAAACCTATCGTTTTGCCTATCACAGAAGAGGCTAGTGAAAGATGACTCATCACGCTGAAGCTTCTTTGCACATTTGGAGCATCCAATATAGGACCATCCCTTTTCTGACTGAACACTGGTAGCCTCAGCCTTACATAGAAACTCAATAATCTGACACAAATAACAGTGTCATAACAATGAAAAGGAAGAACATGGGATATATAATTTTTGATTGGAAAAAGATTAACCTGAGGATCGGCTGTAAGGACATATTGGTTCAGCTCAGCAATGGTTAGGGGCCCTATTTTTTGTGCAGGGACCACTTTCGATGAGGAGGAACTCGCATTGGATCCATCACCAACCAACCTAGCGTGAAAAATGTGGGAAGGACGGAACACGTTAGAGTAAATCATTGGAAACAGATTTGAACCAATAAGATTAACTACATGAATGTTAGAATAAGACCCCCTTACCTTTCAAAATGTTGTTTCCCTACAGATGTTTCACAGTCGAAATAAAAGTGGGTACCAGATGTGGCGTTGAGAAATAGCTTTCATGCAAGTTTAAGGTTCGTGAATGGAGGGTTATATACTGATCATACCTGAGCTAGGCATGTCCTTATGAATGATTTGTAAGGGAAAAGAATTAAATTACCTCCAACCACTTTGGGGTTGATGCTTGTAAAGAGAATAACCTTTGCTTCAGATCCAAGCTCGTCAAACTTAGCTTGGCAAGTGAAAGCTCGATTCGCTGCAACAATTTAATCAATTCTGTGTTATTAATGAATACAATGAAATCTTTTATTTTTGGAACACTGAAATACAATGAAATCAATAGCTCAAATAAGAGACAATCATTGGATGAAAACAATATAAAGATTACCCTTCAATTAGCAGAGTCACCATAACATGCCGTCAGTGATTGTGCTCCTGATCGAGTTTAGTTCACCAACAATATCTTGCAGAATTAAGTAATGGACGTTAATAAAGTTGAATGAAGACATTGAGATAAGTTTCAAGAAGAAGAAAAGATTCTTACCTTGTCGTTGATTGTTGGTATTTTCCAATGCCAAAAGCTGCTCGTGGCTGCGGAAGCGGAATAACTCAGTTGGAATATCCTTTTCAGATTCATTTTTTTGCTTCAAAGGAAGTTGCATCATTGAAGCGTATAGAGATAGGAGAGTCTGAGAGTCGGACGTTAGGGTTACTTCGTGAGACATCGAAACCACTGCGGCGTAACAGAAAAATATGTAAACTACATCACAAAGATGAACTTCTCTGCGGCATAAGAGAAAGGAGAAAGAAAGAAGACTACCAAAACCCTAACCTTTAACGGGCCAAGACTGATAATTAGAAGCCCATAAACAAAAAGACAAAATAAGAAATAGCCCATACAAAAGTATGACACGTGGATTTTTTTGCCCCTCCCTCTCTTGCTGATGTGTACACCCTAAGAAGAGAGAAATATCTACTTTATTGTATAAGATATATAAGAAATTAAATAACACAGTTTTCAAATAGTTAAATATTTTAGGCTGAAATCTGTATATATTTTCCCTAAACCAGAGATCAGAACATGATTTGGATAACTTCGTGTTGTCAATAATATGCGTACAATTTTAAATAGGAGTAATTATAACTTAATAACATGCTAACATAAGTCACTATGTATTAGATATTGTGTTAATAAAAATGGAAATGAATTTGATTGAGAGACATCAGCGAAATTGACCCACAAACCTATATAGCGACTAGACGGATTAGTTTCTCAATGCATTTAGAAATTAGAAGTATGGGTTTCTACTTTAAGCAATTATCAACGTGTATGCTGGACATGTATCATGAAAACTATAATGATTACGAACTTATAATGAAAATAATAATAATTACTAGATTTATATCAAGTGGTATCTATGAGATTAAACTTTCATATTTTCCATCAGAATATGTCCAAAATTAACAGAAAAGTATGTTCACAATTGTAATTTTTATTACATATGTATATATCTAATCATCCACTAAACTGCACTACCAAGGCCAAACCCAAACAAATAAAACTAAAAGTTAAAGAAGATCAAATGTCCATGAATCTTGATTAAAAACCGTTTTTGAACATCCGCTTCCAACCAAATTTTCATCATGATCATTCATAAACAACTCCAAGCTGCTCAAATCATTGATGTCCCACAAATTCATCGTATCAACATTGTTGTTGAACTTTCCGTCGTTGTAATTAATGGTATCTCCTGATGAATCGGATGAGAGCCAGTTGAGGTCAACAATCTTCGTTTCATCAAGCAACTTTGAGAACTCATCACCAGGCACTGATGATATGCACGACGAGGTAGGCGAGGAATACAAAGAAGGTGAAGTGGAGTTACTAATGTTAATGTCGGCATTATCATCACTAGTATGATGATGAGCAGAAGAGAAGTCTACAAAGATCTCATGTGGATTGAGTAATGGGACTTCATCAATGCAAAACCCATCATCGGTAGAAATTAATGTGTTGTTCTTGTCCAAATCTTTCCCTAGTTGATGTTGTTGTTCTTGTGCTGTTGTAGTTTGTTGGTCTTCTTGGTCTTGTTTTATGTTTTTCTCATCACGAGGCACTAAGCTTTTCTTACTCCCCTGAACTTGTTGTGAACCTTCTTGTTCAGAGAGAGGCTTATGGGTCAGAGGGTCAATACCCATCTTCCTTAATTTTTTCTTTATGTGTGTGTTCCAGTGATTCTTAATTTCATTATCAGTTCTTCCTGGCAAATGAGAGGCAATCTTTGACCATCTGCACAAAAGTAATTAAAATAAAATATTTTAAAACTTAAATAAGTATAACTAATGATTTCTACTGTTCAGACATTTTCATCAGACCCACTCAATTAAACTACTGGTGTTCAAAAGAATTCTGAGTAAATAAAGATGAAGATTAGCCAATCTCTTTCATGCAAAGAAGTGGTAAAGTTTGCGTCATAATATAATGACTTTTGTGTTTCTCCGATACCTTAATAATATAAAAACCTAATGGTCATAATCTTTATATATTTTATTATTATATTAGGAGTTAGCTACAATGTCAAGTTAAGGTAAGTAAACTATGTTTATAGTATGAAGTAACAATTATATTCAAAAAAAAAAGGAGAACAAACCTATTGCCAAGTTGGGCATGAAGATCAATAACCATTTGTTCTTCATATTCTGATAGAAGACCTCTTTTTAAATCAGGTCTCAAATAGTTTATCCATCTTAATCTGCAGCTTTTACCACATCTCAACAGTCCTGCATTTAGTTAATTAACCAAAGTAATTAAATTAATAATCATATTGTTTGAAAGTTAAAACCATACGAAATATATTTTGACTAGGAAGGAATCACTAAACAAAAAACCCAAAAGAACTATCAATACCAAATAATAACGTGTGAGGACCACGATATCAAACACTATGATTTTTTGGGCCAAACACTATGATTAATAGTCTAATTATATGCTTTCAGACTTTTGTTTATATCGTCCAGCCGATAGAAAAATATTTTATTTCAAAAAGGAAAGTTGAATTAATATGATTCTCCTGCATCGAAATTATTTCTTGAAAATAATTTCTAAACGTGTATTTGATTGTTGGTGAACATCTTTTTTTCTTTTTTTGAACACATGTTGGTGAACATCTATACTATAGCATATACCAAAAAAAAACTAATTTACCCATTTTTTTACCAAAAAAAAAACTAATTTTCCCAAAAGTAGAGAAAATTACATTAAAAATGACAAGAAACAAGTAGAGAAATAAACTTAGACGTTTTAAGGAAATGAACATTTAAAATACGATAATCTATATATCAAATAGCATCAGTTCGTCGGTGTAGAGAAAGGCTAACTTTTGTACATGAGAAATCCAAAACGAGGCGTTTATGGAGAGAGAGAGAGAGAGAGAGAGAGAGAGAGAGAGAGAGAGAGAGAGAGAGAGAGAGAGAGAGAGAGAGAGAGAGAGAGAGAGAGA